CTTTTTATTGAAACAGCAAGGAACAAAAATAATGCTGTCAAGGAAGGCCAATAAGGAACCGAGCAGAAAGAGAGAGGAAGATCAGTTAACAGTTGGTCATTAATGTCTAATAAAACGTAATAGAAATAGAAATAGAAATATTTATTTGTCTTTGAATAGGGTGTACAGAAGGTCGAAAATAACAAAATATGATCACCTATCCAGCCATCAACAATAGCATGCAAATATATCGAAGAAATATTGATATTACATATAATTATTACGGTATTACTTTTTGCTGATTATTCCCTATAGCTTAATAATTCTTGGAGAGAGTAGAATAATCGCGCGACAAGCCACTTTTGCAATGTGGTCTTAAACTGATTAAAGGACAGTTCTTTAATATCTTGAGGAAGTTTATTATAGATTTGGACACACATGCAGAAACAGTTTTTTTGAATACGAGTACTTTTTGGGATGAACTCAAGGACTAGTCTATTGCAATTCCTAGTATTACGTGGGAAAACGTCTTTGGCTTTTTTGAAAAGATAGGGGTTTTGTTTAACTATTTGAAATACGTAGGAAATACGTGTAATGGCTTACATTATTCTAGCTTCATGTAACTTTAAGGCTCCTTGCAAAACATGACGTCAATAGGCACCTGACATTTTATAGCTCTCTCACGTATGTTGCGAATGTACCTTTTCACACAAATTACCGACCTACAATGTTGACAAAAGAAACGTGATAGAGGTAATCAGAGACATGAACTTAAATTTCCTTTGATCGTTAGTAAACAATGCTGAAGCTTGACATATTTTAAATTGTGATAGCATTATTGTTGCTTTAACACAAATATTTCAAGTCCAGTTCAGCAGATTTACAATTTACTTTCGTGGTAAAATGCCAAGTGTAACGTCAAATAATGACTTCGATAAATATCGCCTATCATCACGTTACGGTTCTGAACGACGGTAGTTATGTATTGCTCATGTCAACGACCAGATGCACAAACAAATCATCAGTTATCTAGTCCAATTTGCAGAACACACCATTGTAACATGGTCTAAATAAAGATTCATTCGCGATTCATACAATATGCTTTATTTAAATCATATTTTGAAATTATGCAAGTATCAAGACCGTTATTCCCAAGACCCAGCTCTAATTAAAGCTTAATTGATTTGTGTTGTACATCGTCGATATACAGCGTAGGTATATCTTAATTGGTGGTAGTAGTAACTTACTGCTAATTAAATTAGCGAACTTGTACAATGTTAATTCACACTATCTATTAATTTTCATTGAGGGTGTACACTGGGTTTTTGCCACTGACACTGCACTTGAGATTTCTACTGGACGATGTCGGCCGATTTGTTTTCGGATTGGTCGTGCTGGAGGGTTAGCACGTGCGTTCTCGTGCAGCGGAGAGCGGGCTACGTGCGTACGTCCGCGCGCGCGACGCCCCACAGACTAAAATCCGCGCGCTCAAGCACGCCGCGAGATGAACCGAAGCCCCATAGCAGCTGTGCGCACTGCTTTATCTGATTACCTCATGGAGCAAGGACCTTTCGACACACAAAGCTCGCCGTAAAATCCACCTTGAAAATCGTTCGGGCCGCGAAATTTGTTACGAAAGAACCCTCGTTGACAGATCCGCGTTTAGAAACTTTGATTACTTACAGTTTCTTTTATGGCCGTTTAGGTTTTCTTGTTACGAGAACTAGCACCGGAAACACGGAATGGTCAATAAATAATATTTTATGCCATGATCTTAAAACAAACCAGTAGTAGGTATAATTCAAATCCAAAATCGTTATAGTACTCTGATATTACGGATGATTTTCTTTTAATGTAGATAACAGTTACAAATTGTCTGAGAACAATGAGCAAAATTGAATTCTTTGTTACCCAAAACACACAGTGCATATGGCCCGTTATTATAGCGACCACTTTTATGTACTTAACGAGGAAACCACATGTTAACGTTACGATACGTCAATATTAGTTTAAACAACAATCGGCAGTACATCTACTGGGAGTGTTGTACATGTCTAAGATTTGCACATGCCGGTCTCGAGAACTCTAGAGATCGTTCCCATTGTTGTGCACGGCCATTGTTGAACCGCATGGAGGTCACAGACTCAGGACCGTTCTTCGACTTTGTTTCGATTTTTATGCCATCAAATGCGATAATATCACCCACGCGGACGTAACGCACGGAACGTGTGAACTTTGAGCTTGAAATTCCTCGCGAATGCTCACCCATTTATGCTTTGAAATGAGGACAAGGCTTTTAAATATTACACAAAATTTTCATGACAAGACATACTGGCTGTCTACTTAGAGTACAGGAAGCTTTTTATACATACGAAAGAACTATATTATTAAGTATAAGAAAGATGTTATTATTATCATTACTGTTGAATTCATCGCTGTTAATTTCGAAACAATAAATAGCAGTAAAGAACCATATGTAATATTTTTTGCCAGTGAGAAGCCGAATTTACAAAGATACCTAAGTATAGATAGATAATTGTTACTGGTTTAGAAGCTGGCTTTTAGACTGGCTTATTTTTTATCTGAAGCAGAGGTTACTGATCTTAATATCAGGCTTTTGAAGCAACAGAATCACGTTTTAGTCTCAAGAGACTATAGGTACTTTATTTGGACGTGATCTGTGCCAAGGCGTCTTTAGTCATCTCGGGGCACCTGCGTTTAGAAAGGAATTTCAATTACTACGGAAAGGGACCAAGTAAATTGCCCTTGATTAAATCTATCAAGACAATACGCATTGGAAATAAAAGTCACAATCATTAACCTTGCACTTTACAAATGTTAACGGCAGCAAAACAATCTCCTGGTTTCGTTACGGTCCATTAAGAAAAATTGTAAGTATTTAAGATAAATGCGGGGTATCATTAATGTACCAGCTAAGCCAACTGAACTGGTAGTTATCTGTTTTAATTGAGAAGCGTTTATGTTAATGTGTTACAGGGAATGTATTATTGAACCAATCGAATTTCAAATTAAATTGGCACGAAATCATAAAATTTATACCTACCTAGGTATGAAAAGTTTAGTGAATTTCTGCGACGAGTTACTTGGCTTGATCGAGCCCACAAGTAGAAATCGTGGACAAATAACATTGAAAGAATAAGTAAAGACATTGACAAACGGCATGAAGCAAAAGAAAGCATTGACATTGACATATTGTTCGGTTCCACGAAATCTTTTATAATGGGTCACAACAATCTATGAGTTATTATTATACCAAAGTTCCGGTAAAATTAATTCTTCATTACGAAACGAAAACAATTATAGTAAGATTGATTTCAATAGTGAATTATAAATTCGTTATGCTTCCAGAATAGCGAACTTCTATTACTTATAAAATACTCCACGTAGTACTATTTATTGCGCTCTTCTCATGTCGCAAAAGTTATAAGTAACTTTGCAATTTAAGAATCAATAATGTTAAAATTTGATTTTATTATTAAAGAAAACAAATTAAAAGGGGCATCAATTGCGTTTTGCCTGTTTGTTTTCACTAGAAAGCAGTTGGGAATGGCATCACACCTTTGTCTGGTGCATCAATATTATCGTTTGTGGTGATTGTTTGGATCCATTGAACAATAACCCTGTAGTTGGAAGGAAAGCGGTATAAACAACTTTAGGGCTAGCTTCTACAGGCAGCTAATTATCTATCTTGTTCGTAAGAATCTACATGAGTGCATCACACCATAATGTCGCTTGATTGTTGTGTTACTGTCTTGATTGTTTTCTTTTCCCTTCCTATCGTCCCTTTTGTTTTGTTATTAAGCTGTTTACGTCTTTTTTTATAAAATTGAAAATACTGTTAAATTTTTGTGTAGTTCAATTTCGGATGCTCTCCTACCTGATTTCTCATTGACAAAACTTATTATAGCATTAAGGAATACTTAGAGGATAGATTTTAAACCAATACAATATAATGAAAGTAAATGAATATATAAATAAACTAGCTTTTGCCCGCGGTTTCACCCGCGTGAAATTTAGTATGTCACAGATCGTCATAAATTATAGCCTATATGTTAATCTGGGTTATAAACCGTAATACTGTAAAGTTTCAACAAAATCCGTTCAGTAGTTTTTTCGTGAAAGAGTAACAAACATCCAGACATCCAGACAACCAAACATCCAGACATCATGACATCCAAACTTTCGCATTTATAATATTAGTAGGACTAGTAGGATAGGATAAATAAATAAGTAAGTAGTGTTGTGCAATAATTCTGAATAATGTAGACTGAATAATATTTATTTAAAAATAATCTAAGTACAAAATTAATAATATGTTATATGTAATAGTAATACCAATTATTAAATTAATTGTATACCTATTGTGATAAATAATTAATAACTAATAATATAATTAATAATATAATTGAATTAATTAAATATTTATAAATTCTTCCCCTCTCTTATAATGCTGTGCCCGACAGGGTCCATAATTGTATCTTATAAAACCATACATACCACCTCTGTAACATTATGGATGCAATAAAGAATTGAGTATTGAGTATTGAGTACCTACATCAATGTGTAAATGGCTAAAACATAGCTTTATGTTAGACGTTGAGTTGGCAAAACAGTGATGTCATAAACTGTCTTCGCCATACAACTATGGTCGATCACGTTCTAACAGCTCGAAAAAAGTATGACATACAAAAAAGTTGCAGCGAGGGACGCCCACCCACAAGGTGGACCGACGACCTGATAAAGGTAGCAGGAAGGCGCTGGATGCAGGCCGCTACCAACCGTGCGATGTGGAAGTCATTGGGGGAGGCCTATGTTCAGCAGTGGACGTCCTGTGGCTGAAATGATGATGATGATGATGATACAAAAAATGTACATAATGTCCAACTGTAACAGCTCGAAATTGGTAGGTATATCTGATGAGTCCACTTTTCGATCACAACACTTCTAACTCCGCTAAATCACACAAAGGTAGGGAAAGAAATATTCTCAAAATTACTTACCCGATGTTAGTAAGGCTGTTATTGCTCGCGGTAAGCGAGTCCGGTCCGGTCTTCCCCTGCGCCATGGCCGCCAGCTGGCGGTCCAAGAAGTTGTTCTGTTCCAGCAGCTGACTCCACTGCCGCACTGCGGTCTTGGATGACGACAACTCTTGACGGAGCTGCTTTTCGTCCAGGGAATTCAAACCACTCCGAAGGCTGCTGTCCAGCCTATAGAAATATGATTTTTGTTTATGCTCATTCATTAATAGTAGTTTTAATGGTGTTTGCTCAATCAAGATAACTGATAAATACTGATGAGAATGATCTTGTAACGATAATGTTACGATGATTAAGTAGCAGGTCATTACAACAGTGTGAATAATTTTTGTCTGCATTATTATTATTTTCCTACTTACTAGTTTTACTTGGATTTAAACTTAGTTAAATAATGCTTGCCAAATTCGGTATGCAATTTCCTGTCTAAATTGCCTTTAAAAATTTACGTTTAATTGATAATTAACTAACATGATATTATTATCAGCCCTAAAGGGCTAATATTTACAGCTCAAGCTCTACTGTAAATATTAGCCTCTAATAAAAAAAAATCTGGATAGACCTGTAAATTTATCTATCTAATGTGTTTGAAAACTTAATTGAACTTAATTTAGGTACTTACTTATTTGCTAAATTACATAAAATTAATGACTCTGTGTGTATGCTTAACAATTTCACTTTTCTTTATACTAGCTCGTATTACTATCTCAGTCATTACTACTTTCAACACGTTTCTCGCTTGTTATTTCTGCTAATTTATACCAACTAGTAAATGAACAGGTACTAAGGTACATACCTCTCAATATAATCATCAACGCTCTGCAAACTGGTGACGGACTGTGCCAGGTCGTTGTCCATCATCAGGTCGTCGGAAGCCAGGCTCGACAGCGTGTCAAGGGAGTTGGTCCGCTCCGTTCCACCGTTCCGACCGTTGCAAACTAAATAATTAAAATGAATAATTATATTTGCAGGTAATTACTAATTGTAGGTAAGCTGTTACCCAAGTAATTATTTCTAGCCAGACAAATAAGAGTATGTTGTGTAATTTTTTTTGCCCGGATTTTACTTTTAATTTTGCACGTCGACCTCGCAATTTTCGCGCCAAATCTATTTAAAGCATAGATTAAAAATATTTGAAAGAAGTGTTTTGTTATCAAAATAAATACTGGCCATTTTTATGAAAAACAAAAAAGTCATGATTTTTTTCTTTTCGCTGAAGCCTTAGATTAATAAAACCTAGATAGATAGTCAGTGCACGAAAAGTGAGGCAATTTTTAGGGAGCCGGCATCACGGCTTACTCGTAAACGTCACATGAACTGTCAAAGTGAAAAATTGGTAAACACGTCCGACGAATTTTAATTAATTAAAACGGTTTGTGCTGTGAAAGGGTGTCTTAAATACATCAGAAAAACGAAAGAAAGTGACCAGTGTTACATTTCATAAGTAAGTACTACAATTCGACGCGTATTTTGCTTGAATTTGGCTTTCAAAAATTAAATATGGGAATGATACCAGTGACAAGAAAATTTATTTCCCAATTGTTCGCCGTACAAATACACTTCCTTTTTTATGAAATCGAGACTTTTAAGTCGATTTATCTTATTGTTATTAGTTAGGTAGGTACTTTGAATTCAATAAATAAGTAAGTACATGATGCGTTTTGTTTTTGTTAATTATAAAGTAATTAAAAACGTATTAAAATTTTCCCTACTTTCGGGAAAATCGCCTTCACTGTCTACACTCCCCAACAAAATTGACACTAATGACATAAGATTTTTGCCTCACTCTTGACGAAGCGTTTGTATGAAGACTATCCATCTAGGTTTTATTAATCTAAGGTTGTAACAATCTTTGTAAATCGAGAAAAGAGGTTTGATTACTTCGTTATATAAAACTTACGTTTTCTATTCCTCTGCGCTAGGGGACTGGATGTGATGCGCTCCCTAGACCTCCGTAGTTGTCTGCCCGCTTCTTCTTTGTTTGCTGAACTGCCGTCATTGTTTTCTGGGTACATAAACAGAACCAATTTAGAATATTTTTTAAAGTAAGTTATTGCACGCAACTGTGTACTGTGCGCTGTCTAATTTTGTAGTAAGTAGTTATTGTCTGAGGACGAAGTATGTACACAGAATTAATTAGTAGTTAAAATTCAGTAATATTTTCTTGACCTGTGACTGTTACATGATTATTCATATTTAAAATAATTACACTACCATTTGTAATAAATACCTACTCGTACCTACATTATATCCTCATTTCATTATATCTTTTTCAAGTTCCTGCTACTGATTTGATCCTAACTAGACTTTATGTATTTAATTCTGTTTACGATCATTAATTACTTTCAAAAAGATTTCTTATGAAACACCTACAAGTAATTAAGTTTAAGGGCTGATTTTTCAATCGTCGGATAACTTTTAACTAATCAGCCCTAAGTAGGACAGTTGATAGAAATCCAGTTTTAATGGCTTAAATGACTTTGGAGTCGTAACATTGTTAGTAAATTATTGTGAGCTTATTTTTAATACAGTAATGATATACAGGTATACATTTTCTCAGTAGGTACTGTTACAGTTTCGTTCCCCTTTAAAAGTAATTTCTGCCGTTAGATAAATAATCACGCGATTTTGTTTTAATTATCTGTAATTGACTTATTTAATCATCTCTAGAGAAGAGTTGAAAGATAAAATTAATACTTTACCTGTTTCAAGTGCAGTGCTTCTTTCAGTAATATTAAGTATTACGCATTATAATCTCTATGCGGCTAAATGAAATAGTAAAGATACTTGTGTTACTGAAATCCTTCAAGTTTCACTTGCTTTTTAATAGCGATCGTTATTTTTTCTTACTTCAATTTACTTACTTCGGAACAGCAACGCTGGCTGGTCGGCAATCTCATCGTCGAAGAAGTCCCGCCCATCTGACAGGGACAGGGAGCCAGAAGCATGTGTGGGAGTGCCGGGAGACTCTGGAGTGTTGTTCTTGCTGGCCTCTCCCCCGCTACAGACGCTCCTCAATTCACTGGGAAAAGGGAATAATAATTTAAAACCAAGAAATTCCTGCGGCTGCGTTTCAAATGTCGCAAGTTGTAAGTAAACTAACTTTTAGGGCCCTTGCCCACGGCAACTTTGTGTAGCGATGCAGTCGCGCTGCTGTAGCGCGTTAGTAGCGCGTTGGCATCACTTCTGTAGTGCGTTGCAAATGCGACTTACGCGCGTTAGTAGCGATGCTGTCGTAAAAAGTCGCCGTGGGCGAGGGCCCTTAATGGGATTAGAGGTCTTTAGTCTTGCTCGCTTATCCATAACTTTAATGCATGTACTGCATGAATGATGCTTTCGCCTTCGCTAAAATTTTATACTGTGGCTGAATTGCAAATCCATAAACTTTTTCACCTTGGTCTATTTTGACTGTGAATTTTCAAAGGTGCACTTACATTATTTCTTTCACTGGCTGCAACAACTCTCCATCAACCCGATCCTCGACGACCGGCTCTGGCGTCCTGGTCTTGGTGTTAGCAGTCTGATACGCCGAGGATATGGAAGGTGGATCTCTTTCTATGTGCAACTCGTTGTTGGAGTCACTGGTGCTGGTGGAAGATATCAGGCTGTCGGCTGGAGACGTCTCATCGTCAAGAAGACTTTGCGTGGACGTTTCCAGAGCTGACATGTCGAATTTGGACTCTTCCAACGTGAGCGTCAGGTTGTCATGGATTCCACTCTGGTTTGTGCACGTGCTCGTAGTGCTGTAGTTGGAACTTGTCATCGACCCTGAAAAAAGGTAATTTGTTGAGAATTTGGATATAGTTAATTTAGAGTTAAATCTTTTAAAGAATGCTGTGCACTCTTTTTGCTGTAGATTGTTTAATTACTAAAGTAGAATAAATTTAAAAACCTTTTTTTGCTTTAGTTAGACTAATTGCTACTGATTGACACGAAAGGATTGATATTTTCTAAATAGAAACTCGGGCTGGAAGTAGGAATTTAATTGTAGGTATAGTGTAATCGGATATTAGAAATGTTACATGATGGCGCTACGACGCCCCTTTTAAGGTTCAATTCATATATTTCTTTAGCAGGTGACTTGAGTAAGACGCCTTCTTCACTTACCCATCATAGTACTACGTAGCGAGTCATGTTGACTAAGAGTCAACGATTTCATCAGAAGCGGATGAGGAACAGGTGGTTCATCCATGATGACTATTGTCTTCTTGGGAATCTCCATTTCCACCGGCTTTGGCGCTTCCTTGACTTCAAACTTGGACTTGTCGTCCTCACAGCTGGAGACGCTGAGGGCGATGGAGACATCGTCTTGTGATCTGAAAACGGAAACAATTGACTTATAAAATTGCTAGATATCACAGTTTCAGGTAGTATGTAAACTGTAAACAACCTAATCTTTGGAAAACAAAGCCCAAGACTTTATTATGCCTTTGTTGCACCAAAGGGTTGTGGTCAGATTCGAAAAAGGAGTGTTCAATAGTCTTTGCGCGTCTCTTGGCTGGATTATATTTTAACGTCAATTCCAACCGTTTGGGTTGTTAAATTAGTTTCTCGGAAAAGTCACACTGTCATTGGTTTAGTTTTTTTAATTAAATTGAAAGAAAATATGATGTATTTACCTTGTAGCCATAGCTTCTCCAGCAGCTTGGCTTTGCCAGGCGCTGCTGTTTCCGAAATGGCTCTCCTCGCTCTTGCAAGACGGACTGGATTCCTTGCTGGAGTTCACCGTGGTAGGTGACACGACACCACTGGATGATTTTGTAAACGAATTCTGTAAGAAAAGAAAAGAATTTGGAGTTCAAATTAGAAGGTTTTTAAACCTTCTTGAACAATAACACAATCACAATTAGGTAATAATATTTATTGGTTAGTATGCTTTTGAATTAAATAATATAGTTAGATTATACGTTCTTTAATGAAATCTCATCTTCCAGGGATGATTAACTCCTTATTGCCGGAACCAAAAAAATCTAATTGCGTTACAGAAATAGTATACTACTAGCTATAGCTCTATTTTTATCACGTTTTCTTTATTTACCTGTTTATTCAACATCTCAGGCTGCGCCCGATCCAGCACGAACTTTTCCTCGTCCTTATAATCCAGATTTGTCTGGATCCTAGTCGGCCTGGTCCTGGTTCTATAGCGGTCCAGGGTCGACATGGGCGAGTTCTGTCTGTTAGACGTTTCAGGCGGAGGCGCCGGCTTGGGTAGGATAGGCGATGGGGGCTTGTAGGTGGGTGCTGGAGTATCGTACTCGGGAGATAACTCGTCGTCGAAGGAACTGGGCAGCTTTGGCAGGGGAATCACGGCGTGCCCTGTCACGACTGCTTCGTCTGTGAAGTGAAAGTGATATTTATACAGGGTGTTCCAGAATGGGTGAATCAAACTGCTATAGGAGGTAGCTTGACCTGAAAAATGAAATTGTTATAATTCCCGGAGAAAATGTTAAACTTTAAAAAACATTGTTCTTCTTCTGCCTTGCCTTATCCACGGAGTCAGCTTTCCCAATCATGTGCTACCATTTATTTCTGTTCCAAACGTCTTGTTCGTGAAGTAAGTGTATCAATACTTTGATGTCCTTTTCATTTACATCCAGGTGGTTTGGTAGAGGTCTTCCTTTTCCCTCTTTTTTTAAACTATGGAAAGCAACTTTTCTCTTCTCTCTTCTTAATTCACAACGTCACTATAAGTACATATTTTACTATCGGCCACAGTTCCAGCTTCCCATTTCCGGTCATGTCGTCTCGTTCTATCGCAAAGAATCACCACTTGATAAGAGCGAGAGAAAATAGGGAAATGAGTAGGTAGCTGGAACTGTGGCCGATAGTACCACGTCGTCCTCGAAAGACGTCCACTGCAACAAAGGCAGAACTGTGGCCTATAGTACCTCGTCGTCATCGTTTCAGCCGAAAGACGTCCACTGCTGCAACAAAGGCCTCCCCTAAGGTTTGGGTGTGGTGTAGATATACCTACCTAAAAGAAATAAATGAAATAGTGAATTTTTGGTATCTCACCCATAATATCAAGGTCGGCCACTTGCAGCTCTCGGAGGTGGAAGCTGTGCGAGCCCTTCATCACCATCTCCAGGTTGCGCGGGCGTCGGCGCGCGCGCGGGGAGCCCTCCCCCCCGCACTCCCCGCCCGTCCACACGCCCGAGTCAGAAGATACCGCTGACCCAGCACCTGGACAATTTTTTAGCTTTATGAGACTCGTTTTATGTTTTAAGGGCTCTATCAAAGATCAAAGGTTCAAATATCATGGAACTTGTGGACCTACTTGGGTAAATTTTTTGGACTAGCTGATCATGATTTCACCCAGAAGATAGATAATAAAATATTATAAATTTATTTGAAAACCAAACCATATTATGTTGTTATTTATTTACCTATGTAAATTCAAATTCAAATTTTTTATTGCAGTAAATAAGCGTTTTCCTAAAACTGAGATATTTTTTTCTTGACGAACCGAAATATCGTGGAATTGAATTGCCAATACATTACCTAGCTACTTCTTAATGTTTCATAACCATAAATCAACTGACGTTAAAAAATAATAAATGCGGAAGCTATGATACGGAGAGTAGGTATTACAAATATGAAACAATTTATAAAAATGATTAAGATCTAAAATAAGAATGATTATCTCTTATTTGTAAACTTGACCTTTTGCTTAGTGTGTGTTTACAAAATAAACAAATAAAAAATGAAAAACATTTAAAAATGTAAGAAAACATAAGTCTTACCTTCCCTCCATCCCTCGGAGGATCCTGCCTTCCTAGTATTATTCACCACCTGTGAACCAAAAAGTTTCATTATCACCTACATTCACTTTCACTTCACGAATTTATGTAACTGAAAACTTTAACCATTCCGGTATCGGCAGTCCGAAGTGCATATCAACGTGCGAACGGTAGGGCGACCCTACGGGAACCTGTGTCGAAATGACCCAAAGATCGTTGTTGGTTAACAGTTTAAAAATACCGAACATCCACACGACAGTTCACAACTGAAACCTATCCGAAGACACGAACGCGGACGACGATAATAAAGAAACAAATTGTTCCTAAAACATTATTATTACTTTCAAATCAAAAATGATTTTGTAGAGATAACAGAATTTCCATAAAACAACACTTAGATTTAGCACACTCACCAATATTTTATTATTTGCAATTTCATTGCAGCACAACACACTAAATTCAAAGTAAAAATATTACAAAGTGATTTTTATACAACACGTCATTTCACGGTCCAGAACTAGGAGAAAATGCTCGTATAATTAATTTGTTTCATTAATTAAAGCCGTGAATTAACTATTCATGAAAGTTGTCTAACCATCTCTTTGTGTTACATTTTGCTGATGTTTTAAAAATGCGCCCAGCAATGCATATGGGTGATATTAACATAATAATAAACGAAATGTTTTGATTATATTCCTACTACTTACTATTTATTTATTTATTAATGTTTTTTTTTCACTATTTTATAAGAGCCAACGAATTCACCAAATAGGCTCTAGAAATATAAAACTGGTAATGAACGTTATTAGGCAGTAAACAGAAATAAATTTAAAAATTTCCTAATTACTTACTGCAATCAAAGAATACTAAAACTAAGAACTGACCCAGTTTAGATGCGCGTGTTTCAATTCAATTCATATACTTATTTCGTAATTTAGCAATTTATCATTAGTAAAAATAAAATAAGTGAATATGTATGTAGGTATATGTATACGTACCTACCTAACAGGTAACGTCTAGGTAAAGTAAAATCAACCTTGACCCACCCTAGACAGGTTAGAGATTATGTGATTTACATTTAAAACAATATCACGGTTCTAGATTACAGTTTAGACTTTTCTTTTTCAATACTGAATAACATGTAAGTTATTGGAGACTGGTACGAGTACAATTTATTTAAAATACTTTTCATACAATGAAATAAAGTTTCTTCTAATTTGAAGAAAAACATAACAGATATCTCAAGAAATCCCTAGCTTCCGAATCCCGTGTGTGCTGAGCTGCGACTGAATGCAGCGTGCAGTGATATTTTCAGCGAACTCCGACACTCACACGAGTCACACAACTCGTCGTCACTGAAATAGTCGAGTTCTGACCTACTTCCGTGTCCATCGATTATCTATCCTTCCCCCCAAACAATAGAGTTGGAAATCACTTGATCGCAATACCAGGTTATTGTGTAATGATCGTGGGTTCATTATAAATTATGAACACAAACGGTGCCATAATGCGTTAAGGAAGTGTTATCTTATTTATTGCAACTTTTCATTCCGTTACGTTTTTAGTGTTTGATGATTTTTGATTGCTATAAAGTTCGTATTTCAAAGATTGCAGTGCTACTTGTTGTCGCTAGATTGTTGACGGGACTAGTTGCGGTCGTCGTCGTTTACAAACGACAGGACATGCAGTTAAATACTAACTATGGCATCTGAAATAGTACTTACTGAGTGATTTTTGGCAACAAAAATGTAGAGTCACATAAGTTAAGAGTTGTGAGTAAAGTAGGTACCTATCCGCTGTCTTACTCGTGCAAGCTTTCCGTAGTTAGAACTCTCCAATTGTTGGAAATTAAAAGAAAACACGTGTTTCTCCATTTGTTCAGTTTTCTTGAACGTTAAATGCAATGACATTAATAAGACATCACAGTCATCTCACGTATCGAAGCGGTATTTCATCGATTATTTTCTGTTCACGCTGCAATTTATATTTTTAATACGGTATTCCGTATGTTACGTTTAAAGAAATTATCTATTAAACAATAGAGATTAACGAACAAATCAAAGTCAGTCAAGATGGATATAAAACAGCAAGCAGGTTGACTAGTAGCAAATATCGCCACTTGTAGCTACATTCTTTTATCACAAATGAATGAAGTGTAATTACTTTTATGGACTTCTAAAAAGCCGCTAATAACAATGCAGCAAATTACTAATCCAAGATTTCGTGACACGCTCGATCTACAAAACTCTACAGCGCGTGCAGCGCTAGCCTAGTGATTCGAACCTTGTAGCGTAACATTTTGATAAAAGGTACATACGGTGCACCTGTCGAAAAACAGAATCTCGGTTCCATACGTAGTGATTGAGCGACTTATTCCGTAACGTATGTCTCTACATTCTATACGTCACCTGTTTTATATGTGAATGCTTTGTCGCGTGGTCAATCAGGGGTTATAAATGTTATTATGACTCTTTCTGACCTTCCCACTGAAACTACATGAAACTACAGCATTTGCGAGTGTCCACATAGCTTAATTGGTGTTAAAAAAGTTAGCTTTATTCTGTAGAACTCTTTTTTTGTGCGAAACATGGCTTAATTTGTTTAAAAATGTAGTTTTTCTTTCTCTCGATAAGCTTTGAGTGCGAGCCTCTAGCGAGAATCTTCTTCCTAATGATTTTAATGATTATTCAATTAATTACCTGCTTAGCCGTCTTCGCGTCTATGTTCTTGACAGCGGGGTACTGCGGCCTCGGCAGCTGGTTGGTTTGGAACGTGTATTTCCCCGGGGGCTTCTGGATGTCGCTGCCCTGGCGGGGCCCGGGCCCACGGGGGGTTTCAGCCCTGGCCCCAGTCTTGGCCCTGCCCTCCTGTAATGAATTCAAAATGAAAATCTTAATGCCAATACCACGAGGGGCTAACAGGACTAAAGAATGCATTGAAGACTAATCTGAATAGACAACGTTTAGACTTATACAATAGTTACATTTTTAATTGATATTATTTGCACGATTGTACTTATAACTTGTTGGCGCGTTGGATTTTCTGTAAGCCTTGCAGCCTTCTAGAATAAATAAATAAATAAATAGACCTAGGTACAAATAATACATTATATTTTTCTATTTTGTAAATTATGTGATACTGAATAAAAAAGGTTTCTTTCTTTCTTTCTTAAACTAAGATTATTTAATACTTCAGGTAGGTATCTAAACCTTGGTGGTTAAATTAATATTTCCAGCACTATCATCCAAAGTGCTAAAGTAGGTAGGTCCCTACTTGTAGAAAAACACAGTTCTCTATAAATACTCTATGGCGTACAAGTTTCTAATTAAAATAGAAAACTTGTACATAAAAATATAATTTTAACTGTGAAAAGTTTACTTTCTAGGTAGTACCTCCCTTGATGAATAAATGTATTAAATTAGTATCGATTTTATTTCCATTTAATTGCGTATCTATCACAAGATGGTGTTTATCATAAACGGACCGTACTTATTAACGAGGTAGCAGTTTCCAGTTTGTATCTATGTAAAACTTTGGAACTTTATGGAAAATGATTTTCTTTTTAATGAGCGAATAACGGATCACACGGATTATTTATTTATAACACTGTAAAACTAACCAAACAACTAACGAAGTATGTCTAACGAGAGCTAACTTATACTTAGTTTAAACCATGTTAATTAAAGTATGAAATAACTTGTAAGCTATAAGTTTTCGTGCACACGCTAAGTAAGTGCTAGATGTGAAGCAAGGCATGTAACTATTAACACAAGAGATCTTTGATTGGTTGTTTATATGTAAGGGCCCATGCACATTGCGTTTTTTTCAGCCGATGCGTTGTTTATGCATTTGGAATTCGCCAAAGGAATGTTCTAAGTTAACTACATAAGCAGTAAAGCAATATAATTTAGTGTCCACGCACCTGAAATAAGCGTGGTGTGCATGGGCCCTAAATACCCATTTAGATCAATGGATGCTGTTTTGTAGTCCGGATCTAACTGTAATTTATAGGACTAGAATAAAATGTTTTTAAAAAGTTACGTTGGACGTGAGTATATCGCAAAATTTATTTATTTATTGTTATTAACTGGAAAGCTGTTTGTCCCAGTCCCAGGTATACTACATTAAAAGTCAACTTCGAGTGTAGAGTCTCCAACTTTCAGAGGAGTTCTTTGGATAATGGTGTCAACTATGAAATTTTTATTCGAAAGAGCTTTTGTGTCCCAGAATTTTGCATAAAGCTAAACACTGTAAGATCTTATTATTATGTTATTAATTTGGGCTATTTATTTAGCAATGAAAATTTATAGGTAGTGTTAAGTGCTGTTGTCATATACCTAGGTGCTGTTGTAAAACCTACTTGTACCGCATATTGCTGAGGCTGGTACGTGAGGATGACGGTCTGCTTGGTGACCGTCTTGGGCACTCCAGTGGCGCCGACGATGGTGGTGACGCCGGCGGCTGACACTTGCGTTGCGAGCGGCGGCAGCTGGTTGTACGGCGAATTTGTACTTTTCTTATCTGGAAACAAACAGTCCATTTCAAACTTGTATTCAGTCATAAAATTACTTACTTTTATAATAAAATTCATTTAATTTCAGTAAGTTACCTTGAAAGGCAATTTTAAACAGAAGAAGCGGAAATCAGCGGATATTCCGTTTTTAAAGCGGATATTCTGACAAACATCAATCTTTTAAACTGCGATCTCCAACCCGCCTGCCAAGCGTGGGGATTATGGCAAAACCCTCCACTATAGTGGAGGAGGCTCATAGTCCAGCAGTGGACTGTAAAGGGCTGTTGATGATGATGATGATTCCGTTTTTATAACTTACGGGCTCAGTCAATATTATTTGTGTTTGTAATCTGAACTTAATTTTGGTAAGAAATGTAGTAAATTTTAACGCAAAATAAAGAATTGAAGACTTTCTGTAACACAACTCGTCTATGCAATAACACGTGTATTGTGGTTTCTACAACTACATTAACTATCTTATAGTATAAATTACGTACCTAAAGCATTATTATTGATGGCTGTGTCCTTATCCTTAGGGTTGGCGCCGAAGGCCGGCTCCGCAGCCAGGCTCACGTCCCCCACCTTCGCCGTCTTGGAGTGCGGCTGCCTGAAACCGAACCTACAGGATGAAATAATTTCTGTCACTTACGATACTGATACTAGGCCCTTTTTAGTAACCTAAGTACCTCATTGTTACATCAACTGATTGAAACCGAGTTTTGGATAACGCCTGAAGTGATTGCATTGCACAATGTTTATCACTGGAGATTTAAACATGAAACTTTTATCAGGCGTTGTAAATTTTACTAAAACTGACTGAATCTCTTGATCTCATAAAGTTCATCTTTTACGAGTATAATCCAGCTTATTATATCCCTTTTGGCCAAACTCCAGTTTTTTATTGTCTTTTAGCAGTCGGCCATGAAAGTCTTTAATGTTTTTCTTGTGTTTAAAGGCGAGATTCCACCTGATCACGTAGCCGCGCGACAAAAATGGATTTACACCTTTGTGTTAAAAGAAAAAATATAATTTAAAAACACAAAAATGTACTTAAATGACTAATGACATTACCTGTTAGTTCGCAGAGGCTGCCCCGCGGTCTCCTTGCGAGGGCGTGCCAGCGGCGTGGACCGTCCCGACAGCACCTCCTCAGCCCGAAGGTCCTCTGTCGACCCTGGCCATACATAGCCTTATATTATTATCTATCAATTCCATTCTACGGAAAACGCAGCGTAGGACGTCGACCCACAAGGTGGACCGACGACATCATAAAGGTAGCAGGAAAGCGCTGGGCGCAGGCCGCTACCAACCGGGTAACATGGAAAGCATTGGGGGAGGCCTATGTTTAGCAGTGCACGTTCTATGGCTGAGATGATAATGATGATGATGATTCCATTCTAATTAAATGAACACTGTGGCATCTTATTCTAATTGTGATTGGGACGATTTTGCTATAAAAATGTATGGCTATTTTCTGCCTCTGTCACCTCTCCTGCGTGCAGGTCTTCTGTCGAATTTTAACATGATACCAGAGACAACTTATTATATCCCGCTCTAATTATGTACTAATGATAAGGACAGCGTGGTAAGGAGCGAACGTGCTGCGAAGTGAACGCATTGTTACTATCCCTCAATAATTGCTGATGATAAAGATATCACGGTAAAGAGTATGAAAATAACTATGTGGGGCCTAATACTTCACTTGTCTACTAATAATATAGAGCAGCTGAGAAACTTGAGAATGCCAAGTTACAGAGCATGTATAGAGACCATGTAGGAGTTGAACCACACAAAATATGGACAAGTCCCTATCAGAATGACCTAGTTTGTTGACTTCAGCACGAGGCTTAAAATGAAAAACAATTTAATGATATGACCTCGACGTTATGTTAATTGAATGAGATAAATTAATTGTTCCTACACCACTGAAAATAAATTACCTTCCTAAGTAGATACTGAAGAATATAAAGCGACTACCGCAATATTATTCGAGTACGGGACAATCTTCTGACTTCCAATTCCGATCGATCAAATCGTAGGTACGGAGATTTTGTGATTTGTCGGTAAATACGGCCACCCAACTATTAGCGACAGTGGCGGTTGCCGTCTCTACAATTCTCTCAGCGCGGCAGCGTTTGTATAATATTTAATTAATCCTTAGCCCTCCCTCACCCGTGGATCTTATCTATTAAATAATTAATGTTTAAAATAATCGTGTTACGTGTCGACAGGATCTGATTATCGAACCGCAATTAATGTAATTACCCACATCCGTCGAGGCAGGATTTTATCCTCTGTATAAGTAGCTAGGTTTAATTCTGTGTCTTTTGCGCATTACCGATAAAAAGCGAGAAAAACTTTATCTAAAATATGTACTTCCAGTAGTTCCAGTTAAGCTGGAATAAGTAATTAATTGACTGAATTTAAGTGTATATTGTAGGTTGATTAGACGCTCATTGTCATTCGAAAACATGAGTGAGGCGTCTTATTTCAGTCATCATGTACCTAGATAAAATAGGTACTTACTTAAAATATATTCTATCATTTACTACTGCCTAGTTCCATTGTTTTACTAATGATAACGATATATACCTACCAAATACAAAGGTACCATAAATGTAGGTAGGTATGCTGTCTACCTGTCTAGTCTTCGGGCATTCGTCTGATAAATTGAACCCTTAGCAAGGTCATTTAGAAAGCCACATTCATTAAGTGAAATTGGGTAGTCCCCCAGGGATGACCGATATTATCTTTCTGCGAAAAAGTCAACGCTGGCACAAAATAATAACAATGACAACCATAATAAAAGGGCAACTAATGTATTATAGAAAAAGTCAACGCACGAAAGAATAACAATTAAAATCATAAAAGAACAACTTTAAACCACCTAAATTAAGATTAAAAGTTACCTATTCTTCTTTCATGTCTCATGTTACTCCCAAGGACTCGTAAAGGCCTAACGCGAAAGTGTGTAACGATATTTGTTACTCCCTTGCAAAAATACTGGACCGATTTTCATAAGCCTTGACTTTTGAGTTATTTTCGCTTTTATGATATTACTAGCTGACCCGGCGAACTCTGTTCCGCCTTAAAGGCAATAAATAAGCCATCGCAATTTTTCCTTATTTGCTCACCGTTTAGACCTACCCTGGACTACGACAAACATTTTAAAACGAAAATCAGCTCAATCGGCCCAGCCGTTCTCGAGTTTTAATAAGACTAACGAACATCAATTCATTTTTATTTATATAGAAGATAGAAGATTAGGTACTTAGGTATACACGGAGATTTGTCAAACATAGTGGGCAATAGAACTGTTAATGTAAACTCAGGCCTTCCACTCGGTAGACCGATGATCTAGAAAAGGTTACAGGAACCTGATACGGGCAAGGCAAGACCGGTCATTGTAAAATTTCTTGGGGGATGTCTAGCAGTGGGTTATTTATACATACATTTGCCCGCGGTTTCACCCGCGTGAAAAGTTTGTCACAGATCGTCTATATGTACCTATGTTATTCTGAGCTATAAACAATAATACTGTAAAGTTTCATCAAAATCCGTTTAGCCGTTTTTGAAAGAGTAACAAACATCCAGACATCCAAACTTTCGCATTTATAATATTAAGTAGGATACATACGAGTATAGTGGAACGGAACTATTCCCACCTCTCGTTCCCACCACTGCAACTCCTGTGTAACCAGGATCTACAGCTTGACCGCCACAAAAACCCAACCAATGAAGGTCAAGTTTGTCCCGGGGGAAAGTTAAACTGTCATTGGACCCGCAACGAAATTAATCAGAAGAACATAGGAGGAGTTCGAAATTAAGGTTCGACTTCGACCTATAAGACGAGTATAGTGGAAGCACCATGTATCTTACCTCCATTCCCATTTTTGTCCTGCTGTTTCTGCTTCCTTCGGGCGTTGTCGTCAGCCCGAGAAGTGCTGGCCGGCCGTCTTCGGAACCCGAACGATGTGGCCACCCCACGGCTGGGCTTGCCGTTCCCGTTCCCACTCGCGCTTTTGTCCCTCTTCTTGGCTCCTTTCGATTCAGAGTGACCCTGCAAAAAGACAACAATTAATGCACGGTTCTAATAAAGGAAAAACCTTTATCTTACAATTGAGAATCAGTTTTGAATTAAACTGTATTTTAAATGGCGCTATCGAAAACTACCTACGTTTCAGGGGAAATTCTGTCGATATTGATGTTGGCAAAAATTGATCAGCTTTAGGCCAAGTTTAATTATACTCTATAATATACATCCTAAAAACTAAAATTCCCACCCTTTTGTAAACCACTCCACTTTAATTATCTGCTGATCATATTTTTAATCGCTAACTAGTTAACAAGTCATTAACATTAAGTAGAAACTCAAACGTGTAATGCTTTTTTGTAACATTTTGTTCCATGAGAATTGAGACCAATCAATAAATGTCTGTTTCGCAAGTTATAATAAAGGAAGAAGCAACTTGGCTCCCCTCTACCGTAATCTTTGAACAGTATACTGGTACCAATAAGGCGCAAGCGGACGTTAGACAATGCCTCGTCCCAGGTGACATGACGGCATCGCGACATATTTAGATCCTCGCCGTACCATCCTTCAAGGCATAACAAGGTTCATTCAGAGTAGATTTGTAAAGAGAAAAGTAACTATAGATTATGTGAAGATGTTATTCTTGTAACGATGGCTCATTGGTTAATACTCGTATCTCTCGTTTAGAATCCTACGGAAGTTTATCAATTTCCTAGGAAATTTATCAATGTGCGGTTCTTGTTATTTTCCGGTGGGTGACACTGGTAAGCACGCTCGATCGGTATAATGCTATCATTTAATAAATAATGTACCTACATGTAGGGGTACTAGTATTATTTATTCTGTGATGTACGTAAGTTTTAGTATACAAATCTGATCAAGAATATTAATTAAATGGATTATGATAGATTACGTAATTTTATATTAATAACGGCTTACATATAACGGTATCTTAAGAACATAGTTCCTTGGACATGTCTTCCTGTGTTGAACAGAATCAACGTAAGTTCCGCTGGAATATGAAGTTCATGAGCATATGAAGTTTTTAAACAGATTCTAATGTAGAGTCAATGAAAAACCAACAAAACGACTTTACGGTGTTTGTGTAAACTTGCTATTATGGGACTATTCCCACCACTCGTTCCCACCGTTGCAACTCCTGTGTAGCCAGGATCTAAAACCCAACTAGCGAAGGTCAAGTCCAAAGCTATAAGATTCACAAAGTTCTGTCGCCATAGAGTATTAATGCTCTGCGCTAAATTGAATTGAGTCAAAAGTGTGAACATTTGGTGGATTAATCCCAGAGATGGCAACAATAAGTAATAAATAACGGAACATTAAAAACACAATAAGGGTCAAAAGGGCTCTCATGTGAAAACAGACCTTTGTTTTACCTAAAGATGTCGAAAGAACTTATCTAAATGCTTTCAAACAAACGTGACTTGAGAAACGAGCTAATTTAATTGAAATAAGCGAAACTACAGCATCATCACGCATTCAGTATGTAGAATACACGATTGCTATTCATGGAATATTCAAGTACCTTGTGTTTCGTAAAGAAATGCCCGCATAAACCTATGTGATTTGAGGTTGTAAGCGCACGTAGCAACTTAGCTGTAGCAACTAAAATATTCACGAGCTTTCCGTAGTAACTGGGCTGCATCAACAAATAGGTACGTAGAGTTGCAACTTTTAATGTAATGAAGAAAAACTAAACCGTACCAATTTGCGACGCCGCTTAAAATAGTTCATAAAAGATCACATACATCTACACTAATATTATAAAGAGAAACGATTTCATTGTTTGTTTGTACCTAATTTAATAGACTGAACAGACAGACACACCTGCTTCCAAACAGAATCCGAAACTACTGTGCCGATTATCTTTTGTTCTGAATAGTGATTTCCTGCTTATTCATTATTGTCTGGTTGGTTGTACATCAATAAATTAAAGACAGTTTACATTCACCAGTATTACCTACCTACTAATAGAAGTTACACAAACTTAACCAGTTAGTTGCCAGTTGCCGAAACTTGAAATCAAAAGTTGGTACGCCTGTGCTTTGCTTTTACTGCTTCTCATGAATTATTTATAACACTGCTGTATTACGACGATTCAATGTTAATGACTATCTCCGTATCCCACATTGGTGTATGTTATGATGGGTTACATCTAAAACTGCAACGTGAAATGGACTTTAAATTCTACGTAGTAAAATATCCTTTTAAGGGTGGAGAATGTTTGAACAAGTGTTTGGTGTGAAGAAATTTGTTCGAGTTGCATCATTACATGTGAATCCGATTACCTATTATTACTAACAACTTGAACACAATCTGTTTCCTATTTCACAGCGAGTGACTTTTGATGACGTCATGAAAGAAATCTCTTTGATATGACTACTTAACTCTAAATCCCCAGTCCCAAATAATGTAGAATCGACACCTGTACTACGCCCCTAGGGCGGCTATAATATAGGGGGCGCTGTTTAATTTTTCATACAAAAATTTTTCGATGACACTTTGAATACGCAAACGAAACGAACTCGAAAGTTTTTCGTACTAGAGGTACTGGTATGCTGTCGACTCTACATTTTTACTGAGGCTCTCTAGCTTTGCAATAGTATTATAAATATAACTATAGTACAAATATTAAGTCCATGACTCCAGATTCAAGCAATCGCACTCATCATGCGTTTGTCCCCAGTGGAATTCGAACCTGCTAACCGCAGCAACGGCCGTCAACCTATTTCCCATTCTCTCAGATTACAAGTGATTTTATTTTAAGTAAACTATAATGCAATACACCAACATCGTTTTTTTTAAGTATTTATTATTTATTTTAGCTATATTTTTTTAACCATTATTCTAATAATTCGTTAAACTATTTCTATCAACTAAGGCCAAGTGTCAATAGCCTTAAGTAGCTGTTCCTTAAACGATTCCTATAGACAAGTGACATCAAATACCATAGACAACCATAATCGGATTGGTCGATTTAGAGGGAATAATCCAGGGCTCGCCCGCAGGAAATCGTTCGTATAATGGCATTAGCCACACGTCCCCATACAGGAACTTCGTGACAACGGTTGGTATCGTAAACTAAATTGTCTTTATATTGGTAGCTAAAAGCTTTGGTATATCCTGAGTGGAAGGTAATTGGTTTAATACAGGTACAAGGTAAACGACATTTTGTTTTAATAAATGTTTAGGGCTTTTAGTTCTTTGAAAGCTTCTGTGTTCACCACTCATTTTGTGATTCTAATTATTAATACTACGAAGACCTTTTTTTGAAGGATTTTTCTGGATATCCTCTGTATTTAGGAATATCTAATAGTCAAATCTCAAAGGTGCTTCCTTTCCTGTAAACCTACTGTCTAAAGCTATGATGAAGTATACTGAAATATTACCATTTCTTAGGCTTCAAAATAAGTAATGATCACTCTTTTTGATAGCAGAAAAAAAGATTTGTGATCGTCTAAAGAACGCCGTCACATCACGCGCCTCCCAACAATGGCGGCTCACAAATAGTCAAGTAAAAGTATGCACGTTCAATCGCAACGGATAGATTGGGCCTATTGTGTATCAAGTTACAATGGCTTTTTCCCGCGCCAACAAAATTCGATTTGCGGAGCGCTTGAAACTGTGATATTTCAATTTGTCAGCCCTTTCACGGTGAAATAAGATCACGACACACGATCAAGGAGAGCAGAGAAAGTTTCTTCCTATATTAGGTTATATATGACCTGTCAAGTGCCTTTCTTTTTGTTCAAACTGAACATGTATGTTCAATAATGTAATGAAAAACCGTCTACGTTTAAGCAACAAGTCTAGGTTGTGTAATGTTTTATTTAGCTTGTTGTTTTAATAACAAGATGTAAAATGTTTTACAGTAAATAAGAAAATAACGTAATGAAATGTATTTACGCAATGAACAGAAAATTATAAGGCAAATACCCATTTCAAGCTTAACCGGCAATTAGAATGATACTTGCTGGTTACTTGGTTGGTATGAAAATTACGAAAGATAATTATTACATTAACTTCGATAAATATTACTTTTTGACCATAACAATTATCGTAGTTGCACAGAATAATAATAAGTAAGTACGGTAGCAGTAAAAATGTAAGAGTCAAATATTTCTTAAAGGGTCAAGAAAAACAGTTTATGTTGAACTGGATCAAGTACAACACAGTTCAATCGCAGCATGTCAACCTACTACTGAACAACAACGTTAAACTTAACGTTTTTAATATAAAATTAAAAATCGAATGAGGCAATTTTGTTGTAGGTCGACTTGCTCACGAATGTCATACATAAACCATTATAGAGGAGAGATGTTACAAAGACTTTACCATAACAGTAAAGTATTCTGCCATGATAGTATAGTGTGGTTAACTAGGCAAGCAACCATACTTAATGTAAACTATAAAAGTCATGCGGGCTTTGGTTCATTGATCTATGTGGTCGTAAGTCAAAACGTCATGTAAAATGTAGAGTCGATATGTTAGAGTCGCATAAAAGGCATTGAGCTGATATCAAATAGGCAATTGAGGCAGAAAGCTATAAGGCAGAGACGATATTGATATGAGAATAAATTGAAATTATGTAAGATGCCACTTTCAGTATCCGTTTAAATATAAATCAAGTACAATAGTTAAGTCCATATATTTTCAAAACGTCCGTACCTACTATTAAAAGCATAAATCATCTAAATTATATAGCTTTGTGCTGGTTCATTATGGTTCATTTTATTATGATTATAAAATCTATATCTAATATCTATACTTCTATACTAATATTATAAAGGCGAAAGTAACTCTGTCTGTCTGTCTGTCTTTCTTTCACGCCTTAACCACTGAACCGATTTTGATGATTTTTTGGAAAAGAGATAGTTTGAGTCCCGGGAAAGGACATAGGATAGTTTTTATCCCGGTTTTTGAATCAGGGACGCGCGAGATGAAGTTTTTCTGTGACAAAAAATTTTCCACGCGGGCGAAGCCGCGGGCGTAAAGCTAGTACTCGTATA